TGTGTAATAAACAATGTAAAAATTTATCCCCTTTTTTATAAAAGAAACAAAGACATTTTGATCACGGACAACTGAGGGAATATGACCATCGGGGAATTTTAGAGAGAAATGTTTTGCTCTCAGACATTTATCATAGAACCAAACGCAACAACTCCTCTACTTCCCCCATAACATCCACTCTGGGACCAAGCTGAGCTTATTTATAAAACTTTTTCAAGACTGTAGTAATTGTATATTTTCCGCAAATGCTAGAGTCAGTGTTTAGCTTTGTATAGCCTATGAGTTTTAATACTAATTTTCAAGGTAATTGTTGAAAGATTCCATGAATCACCGTTTGTTGGATAAAATGAGGATATTTATTTAAAGTAAACTACAAAAATTCTTAACTGTAACTCTTATAAAAGAAATAAAAGTTAGAAAGTCCTTTTCTATGGTTGAATATGAAATAATCATAACCACTCTTTGAGTTAGGAAGAGAGAAAGTGGAGTTGGGAGACAAGATCAAAGGGAGTCCACATTGCTTTGCTGATAAAGACAGGACGACAAGGTTGACTCGTGTCTCTTTACTACTGTCATCTTTCTTCTGAGTTGAATGGATATCTGGCTTATATGGCTTCGAGTAGGCTCCAGACGCCTACGTTTTATTTATTGGCGGGAGCTGCATTTATTGGATATTCTTTATTTTTATTAATTTGAAAATTTGAAACCGGAACGCTGCGCGGAGCCTTTGCGTAGTGTGTTTATTTTGTCATTTGATCTTTTGATTTGAATCAGTTAACTTCCGCTTACTCTACAAGGAAAGAAGATGCTGTTGCGTCAATTCCCATATAGAAAACGGACGCTATATAATCTTTCTAACCGTGATATAATCTTCCTCTATTCTACACTAAGCTTAGTAACAATTTTTATCAGGGTGTATTACAAAAATTGAAATAAAATTTATTTTATTGATACATAATTATTTTTACTAAATTTTCATTGGTACAATAACAGGACATGTTTCTCCACAGCATCCTATCATTTGTAGCTTTAAGTAAGGTTTGTTTTTTGTTATCCCTCATAATCCTTGTTCTGCTAACCATTTACAAAAGTTCGTTAGATAAGGTTACACGATGTTTCCCTTTCTCCCTTCAGGACGTGTCTCTCCACAACATCCTATCCTTTCTTTTAACCACCCCTTTCAATCTATGTTCAGACATCTATTTTCACAATCTCATTAAGTATGTTACTTGCTATTTTTCTTTGTCGCTCTTATCTTTAATATATCCTATGAGTGACAAATTCTCGAAGCCTTCTTTCCTCATTATATACCCTAGAAATTAGAATTGTATCTTACTGATTCTAAATATGCGCCCTTTCTGCTTCGTTACTCACATGTTCAGTCGATGAAATCCTCAGCAACCTTCTGCAGAACCAATTCTCTTCGTTATCGATGAGGCGATTGTCTAATATTCGTTTCCATATATTCAAACCGATATAACATAAAAGTTCAGAAATCTTCGCGACATTTTCATGTTTCTTAATACTTAGCTTAGTTTTAGGAAGGCATATTTCACTATCCCCATGCGCCTTCAGTTTTCCGTGTCCCATTTCCCGTCCGCCATTAAAATATTTCTTAGATATTTAAATTTGTGTTCTTGCTTGAAGTTGGCATCATGGTATCTTCCTCTTGCAATTGATGTTTAGTCCTTTCTTCTCGTTTAACTTCATTACATTCTGTAGGAGTTTTGTACTTTCTTTTCTGCTCCTGCTATCAAAACTGTGTCATCTGTATATGTTATTTTCTTGATATAGTGGCCTCCAATAATAAATCCTGGTAGGACACATAATTCTATCAGAATCGCCTCGATGTCTCGGTTGAATAATTTGCTTTGCTTTGTTTTACGACTCAATGGCTTATTTAAGATTTTTATTGCTGATAATATTCTTTTTCAAAAATTTATTGCTGTTAATATTTGTTGCAAAAACGTATTGCTGTTAATATTTTTTTTCAAAAAATGCACTGCTGATAATATTTGTTTTAATGTGTTACTTTTATATATATATATATATATATATATATATATATATATATATATATATATATATATATATAAAAATGTATTGCTGATAATATTTTTTTTTTCAAAAATGTATTGCTGGTAATATTTTTTCAAAACGTATTGCTGATAATTTTTTTTCCAAAATGTATTGCTGGTTATATTTTTTTTTTCAAAAACGTATTGCTGTTAATATTTTGTTTTCAAAAAATGTATTGCTGGTAATATTTTCTTCGAAAAATTGTATTTCTGGTAATATTTTTTTTCAAAAGTATTCCTGGAAATAATGTTTAATGTTCAAAATTTAATTGCTGGCAATAATTTTGTACAAAAATGTATTGCTGGTATTAAAACACATTTTTACGCTTTCGTAGTGTTTTCAGCCCAATTTGGAGGTGAACTATAAGCCCATAGCTGGGACCCTAACAGGTGATACCACACCGGGTTTGAGTGGAGCTGGAAATACCAGCAATTAAGAGGTGATTCCACGTTCCTCAAAATCTCCTGATCTGCGGCCTTGATGTTGGTTTTAGTTTATCGTCATACCCAGGACGCGGATATAGTTTATCATCTTACACAGGACGGCTAGTTGTATAGGTCCGGTGAGAAGATATTTACTTGACATACGCTTCTTTCTATTTTTGTGTATTTACTGAATTTATTTTAATCATTTCAAGAAGGCAACAAAGCAGCTTTTACGCAGGGGATTACTGATTTAAGAAGATAGAAGATAACGATTACAATTCCATTTAAATCTTTGAAGGTAAAACTTGATTGGAAAGCAAAAAGCGGGAAGAGAGTTCAACAAGCGAGAAATGTAAGAGAAGAAACTAGCGTAGAACTGTAAAATGATGAGACCTAACCGCCAATCTAGTACTGCGCTTGAATTCATAGAATAACGAAGAGTTCATCCGAACAATTACCATGAAAGTATTTATAGAAAAGGCACAGGGAAGCTACATTACTGCGGTAAGAAAGTAACTGAAGGCGAAATGTCAGATCAGGACCAATAACATTGCAGATTATTCTATGGGTTTTATCAAGAATCTCTAAATATATAGCAATAGCACAAGGCCAGATCTGCCAGAAATATGCCAACATGGACGAATGCTAGGCAACTTTCCGAGCAGCAGACCTAGCAACTGATTCAATATAATCTTTCCATTTCATTGGCAATGAGCCACACTCCTGGAGGTAAGCATCAGCCAAGCTGCTGGAAGGCGGAAAGGGATCTCTCAGATGATTAATAGAGAGCAGTTTCATTTTAGAGTCGTTAAAATTAACAATCCATTCCTTGCCCCACTTAACAGCAGACCGTTCGTCATTTTTTATATCAGCTGCCAATTTGACCTTATCGAACTTATCAGATTTAGTAATAAAGGCAGGAGTAAATAGTTGTGTCATCAACATAAATATCTAGTTAAGAACTGATGACATTAGGAAGCTCATTAATGAAAATTAAGAATAGATAGGGCCCTAGGGTGTGGAGACCTTCATTGAAGCAAAAAGATCTAGAGTGACCGTTCAGGATAACTTTCGTTATGTTTGTTAATTCATGGCAAAAAGGCTTTGGTCTTGTGCTGCCATTATTAATGCTTCTATTTCTATTCTCCAGATGTTTTTTTTTTTTAAATTGTTAAACCCATGTGTTTTAGCATTGTTTTAAATAATTTTACTTGAATTTGTTGCTTGCGTATTTTTATTTCTTTCCTTGATAGTGTTTCGGATTTCCTTTCAAAATTATTATTATTATTATTATTATTATTATTATTATTATTATTATTATTCCTTTGATTTCTGGTATGTACGCATTTCTTTCCGGGTTCCAACCAGAGATTTAATGTCAGAAATGGCATCATGACATTTTCCACTGAGCAATTAAAAAAAAATTACATAGACAAAGCCCTTCGTAAGGTGAGAACATTTTCTTGTATTTCTTTAAGGCATGGGCTTCCAGGGATCCCCTCAGTTAGTCTCCTGGAATGTTTTCCAACCATTCCGTGGGCTCCAACTACAACAGGGATTCTTGATGTTCCCATGTGCCATATTTTTGCGATTTCGATTTCAATGTCCTTGTACTTTGATAACTTTTTGAAGATCTTCATAGATACATTGCAGTTTGCAGGGACTGCCATATCAATAAGGAGGCAGTCTTTGTTTGCGGTCTCTAATAACAATGTCTGGGCGATTAGATTTGATTGTCTATTATTATTATTATTATTATTATTATTGTTGCTGTTGTTGTTGTTGTTGTTGTTTACTAGCATAAAAAAATGAAAATATTGTGGCGGAGAGCAAATGAGTTTTTATATGGTCTGATCCTAACCGCAAACTTCCATGTAGCTCAGACGTTAAGAGAAGCTGCTACGTTTAACCTGGCTCCTCGGTGGTAAAGGAGACGTGACATCGAGCCTCACCGGGAACTTGTCCTTTGTTATTTCCATGAAATAAAAAGCAAATTAATAATTAAAATTACTCATCATCAACTGTTTAGCTTAATTTCAACACTAGAAAATAGGCATGAGGCACCCAGTGAGGATCGAACTCACTACTGAGAGGCAGTTGCTATTACACCACATCGAGGCTGCTACGTTGTTTATAGAAATATAATTCTTTTCGTTCAGTGTAATGTCCTTCTTTGGATGTGTTTTTGTGGTGTGCCTCTGTGTGTGTCTGAGTGTGTACGTCTGTATGATTCATCGACGCACTCATTTATTTGTATAGGAACGAGTAATCATTCACTGTTATATCAACTCCGTCATCGCCTAGATAAGAACAGACGCGTTCTTTTGTCGACCGAAAGGCCATGGAAGCTGTTGAGTAAAGAAGTGTCAGTCTTTCTCTACGTACACCGGTAGTGTTCTGTGCCTATTGTGTGCGTTCGTGTATATGTGTGCCCTGTGTGTGTGCGTCTCTCTTGCTATGCGCGCTTTCTGAGCTTGTCGACAGCTATCAGTCAACATGAGTAAGTTTGTGTGTCCGTCCGAAAGCGAACACACAACGGGTCTGTCAGACGTTCATACAACTCGGCTGCATTGGTGTTAATTGCTTAAGACACCTGATGCGGCCTTCGAATTTCGGAAACTTTCTCTGAAACCTTCAAAACCGACAAGAGATGAATAATTCAGCAGAAATCGTGGGCAAAGCGAAAATCGTATTGTCTTGTGTATGCACAACGCACACGGAAGTCCTTGCCCTAATAGATTCTGACTGGCTGTGGACGGCCCATCGTCCTAGTGAAAACAAATGGGACCAACACATGCACGCTGGTGCCCAGTGATACCCAATGGCCGGATAGTCCTTGCAGTTCGTTCAAAATGTCCTACAACATGAGTGATGTGTATGTGTGCGTGTGCGTATCACATCTACAACCAGATACGTGTATGTGTGCGCATTCGGATATAAATCTTCGCACGAACAAAAATAGAAGGAAAATAATATTTTTAAAAACATTAAAAAATATACTGAATAAAATTAAAAAAACAAAAAAAGAAAACGCAAAAAAAATCATGGGAAGGGGAGATAACTCCGGAGTAAAAATGGAAAACCGCTGGAGCAGAAGAAATTCAAGTATGTAAAAGCTAATTATAAGAGAAGCGAACGAAAGCAAACGAAATTGGCAAAGAGTTAAAAGGGAAACCTTCCCAAATTAGGAACGTGGCTAAGGTCAAAGTTAGCACCGCCATTCATAAGAGTTTCTGCAGTCAACTCTAATTTACTTTTTCATGAACTCGCTTTTCACAACTTCTCACGTTTGCTGACCTTACCACTATACAGGCTTCGCCTCGTATTTTTTACACGCTTTCAAAATGGAAGTTAAAAAATCTTTATTGTTTTATTACAAACGAAATAGAATAGATGCAAAGAAAACAATCCATGTTTGCAGAAATTCCACGGTGATTGCCAACTCTAAAATTTAAATTTTGATATATTTCTTACAGCAACAATATGACTAGGATTTTACCATCATTAAAATTATGTCCGATTGACTACCATCTCTCACTCTGTCTTAATAAATAAATCTTGAATAATTAACACATGAATCGAATTAGTGAATGCATGCGGCTCATGTGCTTCCGCTATTCATCTCGAGGTTCTTGATAAAATCCAAAGAATCTGTTATGTAATTGATCCTGATCTGGCATCTCAACTTCAGTCACTTTCTCACCAACGTAACGTGGCTTCCCTCTGTCTTTTCTACAAATAATTTCATGGTAACTGCTCTGACGAGCTTTTTTTATCTGGTACCCAAACTACATGAATTTAAGCGTGCTACCTGATTGGCAACTAAGTCCCATCCGTTTACTGTTGAAATAGTTAAATGTAACGGCTACATCTACGTTAAAAGTTTCTTTTCTCGCACTTCCCATCTGTGGAACTCCCTTCCATTTACTTGCTTCCCTGATAACTACAATTTTCAAAGATTTTGGGGCCAGAGAAACTTTATCTTACCGAAATGTTTTATCATATATTCAGTAATAAACTATATATGTAAAATTGCAGCTTGTTATCGAACTCCTCCTAGGGTTTGGGAATATTTGAATATTGCTGCCACATATGGTTCGGTGCTCCTGCTATATATTTAGAGATTCTTGATAAAATCCAAAGAGGAATCTACAATGTTTCTCTCCAGAATCTATCTTACATATTTATAAGTCTACCATTCATCCATGCTTTGAATATTGCTGCCACATATGGTCCGGTGCTCCTGCTATATATTTAGAGATTCTTGATAAAATCCAAAGAGGAATCTGCAATGTTTCTCTCCAGAATCTATCTTACATATTTATAAGTCTACCATTCATCCATGCTTTGAATATTGTTTCCACATATGGTCCGGTGCTCCTGCTATATATTTAGAGATTCTTGATAAAATCCAAAGAGGAATCTGCAATGTTTCTCTCCAGAATCTATCTTACATATTTATAAGTCTACCATTCATCTATGCTTTGAATATTGCATTCATATTTAGAGATTCTTGATAAAATCCAAAGAGGAATCTACAATGTTTCTCCAGAATATTTACATATTTATAAGTCTACCATTCATCCATGGTTGAATATTGCTGCCACATATGGTTCGGTGCTCCTGCTATATATTTAGAGATTCTTGATAAAATCCAAAGAGGAATCTACAATGTTTCTCTCCAGAATCTATCTTACATATTTATAAGTCTACCATTCATCCATGCTTTGAATATTGCTGCCACATATGGTCTGGTGCTCCTGCTAGTTATTTAGAGATTCTTTATATAATTCAAAGAATCTGCAATGTTATTGGTTCTGACCTGGCATCATGGCTTCAGTCATTTTCCCACCGCTGTAATGTCACTTTCTTGCAGCTTTTTTAAATAATTTCATGGTAATTGCTCTGATAAACTATGGTATTTTCCAACCTCACAGATGAATTGTACATATGGGAATTAATTAGGACTTTATAGAGACATGTAGGTATTATGGTGGTTGTTGTAAGAATGGTAAATAAGAATTTGTTGCTTTGGTATAAGGAATACTGTGGTATGTTTAGGTCAGTAATTTAGTTAAGTTTAAGATAAGACAGATTGAAGACCAGATTTCTCGTATCCCTACTTTTGGCCTTGTGCTATATATTTTATATTTTCAAAATAAATATTACTTTCCTCTGTGGTATATAGACTTTATTAATTTAAGCGCAGTATTAAATTGGCAGAATGGTCTCGTCATTTTACAGTTGAATTGGCTAAATTTAACCGCAAGTTCTATTCTAGGTTTTTCTTCCATCGCTTTTCTTGCTTGTGGAACTCTCTTCCGTTTCTATGCTTTCCAGTCAATTTGGATCTTCAAATATTTAAATGCAATGGCAAACGTTATCTACTGTCTTCTTGGTTCCTCTGTTTTTATTGTTCTTGCTCTTTAGGAATATTTTTCTTTTTCATACTTATTCATCCACAGTAGGTAACCTCTTGTATCTTAGTGGCTTTATAACCTTGCGTAGGATGAAATGATTAAAAATCAATATTTACTCAACACTTGAATATGAGCAAAATTCGAAGAGACAGAAATCCTTGTTAATTGTTGAAAATGCCAATTCCATTTTTTCTTATTTAAGTGGAGCATAAACGAACATATGCTAGGATATAATCTGCACGTTTAACGATGCCCAAACCAAATGTCGTTGTCAAAAGCAACCCGACCAATCAGAACAAAAAGAAAAGCTATCTGTTGATCGACTGAGAATGATCGATATCAAATCAATCACGATAAATTAGGTATTGTTTTCTTTATCTTTTTTATGGCAAGTGAAAAATCTTGAAAGAATTGAGCAAACTAAACGTTTCTTTATTTGTCTCCATTCTTAATGGGGAAAAAAACTGGTGGTTGACATCTGTGAACGTGAACGTTTATGGAACGCTAATACTAGAAAAAAAAACAAAAGAAGCAACTTGGAAATGTATTATCGAGAAATACCTTCCGTTCGGGAAGAAGTGACACCAAGTCCATATGAAGGTTAACAATGCAAACAAAGATAGCGATGGAAATAAACAAGTAAAAACGGTCGATGTTTATAGAAATATAAAAAGGAAAACTTTATTTATGATATAAACAACTGTTATATGTCGACATAATGTAATGATTCTTGATTGTCCTAATAGTTGGTTTAAGTGCTATGGGATTATTCACAGCCAGTTAACTTCAAACATGTAAAATAAAATATTTTTTTACACTTACTAACGGAACGAAAAGGTTATCTCAGTTCTTTCACTTCCTGTATTTCTGTTTTTTTAATATTTCATGCGACCATTAAAGGCTTTGTTTTAACCCTAGAACACTAACCATCAATTAAAGTTACACCCCTAATAACCATGGCTATATCATACCCGATTTTGAAAATATTAAAACAAAATCTTAATTATTATAAAACGCAGATTTTGTGTGTGTGTGTGTGTGTGTGCGTTTATATATTGGATCGGATTTCCTACATTTTTCAACCGATTTCAACAAACCTTCACAAGACTGCGTAAAATTACCTTGCGGTGGTTCTGACAGTGCCCAAAATTGGAAAAACACAATTGTTTCTGCACGAAATCAGTTTGAAAACACGATAAAACACGATTCTGTCGCCAGAATGAAAGGGGGACAACTCATTTCGAGTTATACTTATTATAAAACCCAGGTTGTTTGTGTGTGTGTCTGTGTTCGTTTATATATGGGATCGAATTTCCTACATTTTTCAACCGATTTCAATAAAACTTCACTTTTTCTTTGGCAGATAGCGTTTCTTATTGTCTTGCACACTTTTTTCTTTATTTTTACATTCACAATGCTTTAAAAATTCCATTTACAAGACAATTGTTTATAATAAAATTCTATTCAATCGGTAGACTCATAACGATTGAAAACAATGTTTTTGTTTGAGTTTGGGTTTGACCAATTCGTAAAAAAAAAAAAAAAAAACTAATTAAGACATGCGTGTCCGTCAACCTTAAACAATAATCTTTTTATTGTCAATTTTATTTTTCAGTCTTTATGATGGTCAATACTTGATCTATCTCCGGCTCTACTGCTAGTACTAAATATAAATCTTTATTTGAAATATTTTACATGCAGGCACTTCAAACTTTGTACTTTGAGTTAACATTAATAGGAACATATTATTTAGGTAAGAAAATCAGGTACTGAAAATTGTAATTAAAAATAGGAAAATTTGCGCTGGGTATTATATAGCTATGGTTAGTGTTCTAGGTTTGACGAGTTTTGTATTAAAACCTTTAAAATTTCGGCTTACTCTGTCGGAAATGTCAAAATGAAGTACTTTGACTCACACGAGAAGCATTGCCTTGAAATGTGCTGAAATTGCTTTCTTCGCTGTTGTCACTGTAGTATTTCAGCGTGGAGCTATCTTTCCTTCTGTTCTGTAGATGTTGGTTGGCATGGAAACATTGGTGGCTCCTGCTACTGAATCTTCGAACCTTCTTGAACTGAGGGACAAAAAGAAGGATAACATCACGATCCGTTGTGGCTCAAGGCGCAGGCTTAAAGCTCCATCCAAAGCGCCGGCCAAAACAACGCATAAAAGACGCGAACTCGCTCTTTTATGAGCATCTCTAAGGCGTAACTAAACTCAAACGAGGTAATTTGCATAAGCACGAGAAGACCCTATATGGGCAAAATAAACTGATCAGTTACCTTTTCTTTCCTTTTCCCGCTAGTATATAAAAATAATTACAAGATAACTACGTGTGCTTATTTAAAAAAATACTTTAGATAACACGTCCGCTAATAGTTTGACACTTGGATACATTTTTTTCATTAATTTTAAAATAAATCTTTAAAAAAATATGCATACTTTTGAAAATTAACAAAATATGCTTTTTATTATTTTAATTACAGCATTCTTTTCTAAGTGAGATTTGGTGCACTGCGCTTTTACTGACATGGATAGGAACGAATGATTGACGTAAAGAGAGTTTAACACCAAACCACTGCATTGGGAAGAATAGCCTATCTTAATAATAAACATATGAAATCCTGGCACTTTAACTAGGGGTTAAATCCTAATCGACAAACACGAGTAGAAAGTATTCATGTTTCTCTAGTAACGGGCAAGCCATAGCCATAATTTTCGATATTTGAAGCTTCGGTCTCGCTTTAAGAACACTTCAGAATGACACTCAACATCGACATTAACATGAATTAAGACTGGAGAAAATTTGAATAAATTTTAATTATTAAGTAAAATCTATGGACTCAGATATATGATATTAATTCAAATCGGACGAGGTCATCAAATATTATACATTGATTTGTCATTTTGAGTGTTTGTTTATTAATTTATATTTATATTCATATCAGGTCACTCTACGGGTTTGATTGGTACCATATGATCCAGTTCTAACAAGGTGTCTAAACTGGTTCCCCCACCAGGCTTTACGAGTGTAAAAGGTGGCTAGACATTTCGTATTATTAAAAACAAGACCTGTCAAAATGTGGATGGCCATTCTTGTGGGTCAACGGCCATGTAACACTGTGGGATAGACAGGGTTCTATAGCTATGGATGTTACTAGTGTTGCGATGACACTGAGCGCAGACTACCTAGATTGAAATCAAATGTCAGAGTTTGTGGCTGTTCTCCCGATGGAATCCACGGCCACGTGTCTGCGACCAAGGCGAGCCTTCAAGTTGGACATCGGATTTGGTTTAGGGTTAAAAAGGGATGGGTTCCGCAAAAAAACATACTATGCACGAATGATTAACAAACAACCCAGATATGAGGAGGGAACTGGTCATAGGGTAAGCGGTTAAGCGGTATCTCGGAGCAATTTTTATCCCTTTCTTATCGCTCGAATGTTCTATTCATTTATAGCTGAACTGTCATCCCGGCTTTCTTATTTGTGACTTTCTTATAAATACTTTCATGGTAATTGTCCTGAAGGACTTTCCTCTATGGTACATAGACTTCATGAATTTAAGCACAGTACTAAATTGGCGCCAAAGTTCAAATGGCTAAATGTAGCCGTAAGTTCTATGCTAACAGTTTCTTCTATCGCACTTCTCACTTGTGAAAATGTTGTAACCTAGTGAAGTTTTCTGAATAGAATAATCAAACGAAGGTTGGTAATGAACGATAATACTTCGGACAAGAACAATACATATAAGATTCGCCAGCAGCGCTTAAAAGTAGTCAAGTGAATTCCACAATGAATCTTCAATTGCAGGATATCTACCGACTGACACACGCGGTCAGATATGGCACAAGGCCCAATGTAATGTGGGGTATCCGAGCCCGTAGGCTTGGCCAAAAATTCCCCATAGACCCTGTATAAAACGGAGTCGGGTAGCTATTTCCCGAGACGAGACTCTGCCCTTCGACATAGTCTGGGGATCCTCTCTGTCCGGAGGCAAAGAGTTTGACCAGCACAGGTGGAGACGAATCTCCGACTGCTGACCAACATGCAATATTTACTACTGTATTTATATGAATGATGATATAACCATTATCATTCGTAGGTATGCTACAACAGAAAATATCTCCGTCAATATGCATTCCAGTGAACTTTGATCTTCAAAAATTTACATGCAATGTCAATCGATATATGTCTTCCTGATTTTTCTTCGTTTATTTTTCTCCTTCCTTAATAACGTTTTACTTTTTCTTATTCATTCAAACCTAATAACCACTAGTGTCTTAGTGGCTTTGTTACCTTGCTTGGTGTGAAAAGTTTAAAAAAGCAACATTTACTGAACACTTGAATATGAGCAGAATTCGAAGAGAC